ATAATATATATGTAAAGAAAGAAAGAAACTTCGGGTGAGGCATGGTTGTCTTGGGCTGTTCACTTTGGGTGAAGTCGCACAAAGCACACCCCTTATCCCCGAGTGTGGAGGTGATTTTCATCTATGGTTATGATTAATTAATCATTAGGATTATTTTAGCATTGATCTTCATATTTTTTAAAATTTTAAACAAAGAAAGACTTTTTTTAATTAAATTCATGTGGATGGTTAATGCTAATTCAAGTTCATTAAGACCAAATATCATTAAGACTTAATGCTTAGGGGAAACAGTGGATCCTATTGTATACATGTGGATTTTGGCTCGTTTTATCTTCTTCCTGCTATTTTTTCAACAGGATGGGTGAGCGATGATCCGGAACCATAGTCAACTAGGGACATATAGTTTGTGCTGCAGACAGACAAAAAGCAGCAGCACATTCGCCTTTTCTTTGCCATAGGGACATATAGGCCACACAAGTTGCGACGAATACAGATCTCATGCTTCTGGTTAACTTTGACTTTAGATAGCCAAAACATTTGAATACTTCGGATTTTCACTAGCTACAATATTGTTGTCTTGTGAAGATAATATATATATTAGTACTTTATGAGCTTAATTGTAATTAAGCAGGAAGTAGCTGGTATGAATAAATTAACTTTGAGAGTGACCGTGTTTTCAAATGAAAATTATATATGGTAATTACATATGTGAATGAATTAGCTTTGAGATTCATGTATATGTTGAGAAGCCATATTCTTGAGATATATATAGCCTTGTAAGGGGAGAAGCCAATCTTTAACACCAATCCACGAAAGTGATTTTGGATAGGCCAATAATTACTTCCAGTGGCGGATCCAGGAATTTTCCTGGAAAGGGGCAACATTTAAAAGGTTAAAAACTCAAAAGAAATACCTGAATTATTCAAAAAAGGATTTAGGGTTTATGGTTACACAAAGATAATCAAATCAGAAAACGAAAATAATATCTCTAAAAAAAACAACGATATTAAAATACATATTAAAAAATATTTTAAAAAAACAGAAGGAAAAAAAAAGGGAGAAAAAAAACATTCAAACTTGGAGAAGAGGGATGGATCTGCAGCAAGACTCAGGAGCACGCAAAGCTTCGTGAAGAATCAAGGCATCCCTTGGTCCATTTAATTCCAACTTGGACTCCAAGAACACGCTCCTCTGTTCTGTGGAAATAAGGCTTCAGGTTTGCTATTTAAATTTTTTTGTTTTTGCTTGACCCAAACGACATCGTTTGGCCAATACTTAAAAAACAGAACTCGGGCTGCACTCAGCGCAGCATCGCAACAAAGAAAAGAAAGGTCGCTGGGTTGCTGAGGCATTTATTCGAACATGTGGTGGGCACCTCCAAGGTAGAGCCGAGGGGCAAACTCCGGCGACTTCAAAGCTTTTTCCGGCAAGGGGAGGTGCAGCTGCACCTCCTTGCACCTCTGTGGATCCGCCAGTGATTACTTCTATGGAGAATCACTTTAAATGGTTTTAAGTAATTTTGGGGAAAAGCACCTCATATGTACTTCTCCTTGGAATCGTTTAAAATCACTTAAGGTGATTATATCAAAAAGCATGTGGGAATTATTCTCTGCATAAGTGATTCTAATCTTTACAGAATCAGTCCGAAACAAGGAAAAAAAACAGAATAAGAAGGACAAAAATACATTTTTGATTGAGAAAGAGAATCCAATACAGAATGAGTGCTTGTTAATTTCATTCGCTATGTCCTGATTGAGAAAGAGAATCTAATGCAGAATGAGTGCTTGTTAATTTCATGGGAGTTTCACTAAAATACCCAAAATGGGGGCTGAAATTATAAAAATACCCAACACCCAAAACACTTTATAAACATACCCAAAACTCATCATTACACACACTCAAAATCCATTCATAAACATACCCAAAACCCATCATTACACACATACCCAAAATCCATTTTGGGTATGTTTCTATGTTTAAATAGTGCTTGGGTATTTTTATAAATACATGTCTAGAATTGAGTATTTTTATAAATATCTATAATTTCATTCGCTATGTGCTGACTAGATAAAGCCATTTTCCTTTGAATCAAGAGTACATTCATGCACATACACCATTTACATCTAATAATAAATAATAATAAAAAACAAGATAAAGACACATTGGGGCCTAGTAGTTAGCAGCTCATTGCCTCCCGTATTAGTAGTATTAAAATTTGATTAGTTTTCAAAAGTCTCATGAATAGTGAGAGGATAGTGTTACTTTAATCACCTCTCCGACGTCCAGTCCATTCAAACAATTAAATTTCATTAACATCATATGCACGATTCGTTTTCTCAAGGTATTTATTTGCTTTCCTAGAAAGAGAGTGCGATTATCTTTGTTCTTTCGCCTATTTGACTTTATCTCAGTTTTGACACCAAGTAAAGCAAGGAGATAATGAACACGAGCTTGCATCCATCCATGCATCCCTTGGAAATTTCTGCTCAACAGGACCAGGATAGGGACGACTCCACACACCCATTGCTTTATGAACCACCGAGAGGCACTTGATTTTGATTAATTATTAAGTCAAAACTTTTTCCACAATAATTGTCATCAATTTATAGATTTTCTTTGTGATCAATAATTATGTTTTGCATGCATGCATGGTAATGAAAGATTAATTATATGAACCAAGGTGGTTGGTGTGAGTGGTTCGGCACTCTCATTCCTTAAGAGAGGTCAGGGGTTCAATCCCTGCTCTCGTACGTCTCGTATGGAGTCACCACTTTGGCCAGCACTTTACCCCTTACGAGCCGACCCGGTGTGATCGGGGATTAGTTTGAATTGTGGTTAAGACTTAAAGGTGTCACTCATAGTTGGAGCCCATCCAGAACCACCTCGTGATTCAGACCAAAAAAAAAAAAAAGATTAATTATATGGGGTTTGGTATCTGTTGATTTTCCCACGTAAAACCTGAATACTATGTTGTCTTACTATTTGATGGTTGACTTGCTTTTTCAGTCTTGCTTTGCTTGGCGCTAGCTGTTCGTCCGCTCATGACCACTTATTCGATGATTACTTAATTCTACATTGATCAAGGTCGTCTAATCTCTAATGACGATGTTTTGACAAATCAAATCTGAATTTAACAATTTTTTTCAAAAGGCGGCAATGAATAGTCAAAGTTTGAACAAGAATAACTGAGAACAAAAATACTTAAGTCCAAAGCTTAATTAACAACTGGATTAGGCCATTTCCATAGCGACCCTCGACACAAAGTAACACCTCAGTATATATAATATACTGTTCAGACGGATTTGGGGTGTGAAAGTCTAACTTTTACGTGGGAAAATTCAACAAGGTTTCATACTTGAGATGTGACAATCGATTTTCAGAGGAGCATCTTCAACGTTTTTCGTCAATTTTTGATTGACATCAAACAACTTAGTGATGGCCTCGTCAGCTTCTTCCACCTGCCCCTAGCTGCCCCTTCACTTTTTCAAACTCAATACCTTTGCCCTTTTTGCTCTTTTCAGTAATCTCCACCTTCCTCTTCAGGTCTTCCACGGTTATTTGAAGGTTTCTCAACGTTTGTACATCAGAATCAAGTCTTTCTAGAATCCTTCTCTTGTTGCCTTCTTGACGTTGCTCTGTAAATCTCTTACAGTTCTCTAATTTGTCCACGCCAAATTCCTTCTCAACCAATGATTCTGAAGAGGAATATTTATTCTTGTGTTCCTTTACTGCTTCAGTCTGACTGTGGTCAGTTGGTACAACGTCCACCTTCTGGCCCTTGCCAACTATCAAATCAATGCTGGCATCTTGGTCAGTGGTTTCCCACAACTCAAGCATCTCTTCTGCTTATCCCATAGGATGAACACTCTGATATCTGATCAAGAATGATGTCTTTTGTCAGAATTTCATTTCCTAAGCCAGATATTTCACGCTTCTTCATAGTGTTACCAACCCCATCCCCGAATTTCTTTTCTACCTGATTTGCCGAAAAACGCCTTTCCTTTTCCACCATTGCCTTTTCAATAGCTTTAATTCTTCTTTGTAAATCCTGCAAGTCCGAAACACCATCTGATACCGTGGCCACTTGATCTCCATCCAATTGAGAGCTTTCAGCATGCAGAAAATCATCCTGGCTACAAGTGGAATATAGATGTGTCAAATTCAAATGATATCCAAAATTGCATGCACCATTGAACTATTGAAATCAAATGCAACATGCCATAAGCTGAACAATTCATGTCCAACCCAATGTAGATAGCAAACAGCTTACTTTCCATAAAATTTCCCAAAATTGAAGTACCACTTTAAAAAAAAATATATGTATGAAATTTGAGGCCTCAAAAGTAAAATAAAAGGAAGTTCAAAAGAGAATCCTGGAGCCACAAACAACTTGCATAATTCTGAAGATAAACCATATATTCAAATACTGGCTCCGCAATTCATCTAATATAAAAAGCAAGTCTTTCAAAAGACTTTCTGGCTAGAAGACCATACACGATGGCATTGAAGCAAAGAACATAATTGCATTAGTGAGAACTTATGGGTGCATGTCTAGATGATTTTTGAAGAGTTCATACAGGTTCAAAAGAGGATAGAAAATGTGCAGGACCAGTCAAAAACTGCTAACCCATTATGGATAAGGAAATAAATGGAGTAAAGCTTTAAGTTCCAGATAGAAAAAAAGAAGAGAGTATTGAAGCTTTGATAAATGGATCATCACCCTCAGTCCAATTTCCCATTGCAGAGGGAATGTATAAACAGACATGGAGATTACCTCTGATTCTTCTGTGTCTAGTTTATGAGATGTGGCGTCTGCAAGCACATGCTTCTCAAGTGCTGTTGTACACTCCTTCAAAGAGATGACAGACGGAATATAGGCAGCCAACTGATCTTGTAGCCCTGATAAACGAAAACCAGGGAAAAAAAAAATGCAAGTATAGCCGATCGGCTATACTATTTATTATAAATAAAGACGGCCAAAAAAGGCCGTACAAGCTTTACATTTGCCTCGCTGCCTGGCTCGCTTCACTGAATAACTTCCCATCAAAATCTTCAAGTTCAAGGCCAAAAAAAAGGTGGGAAATTCCTCATTTGAGCTCTCATGGCGTCTCCCAAGAAATCAAAGAAAAGCAAGAAAGATAGGAAATTGGAGAAAAACTTAAGCTTGGTTCCAGTCGAGCCTAAAGCCACAGACTCTGACTGGTGGGATAGTTTCTTCAACCCAAGGTTTTTCTTTTCACTAAGCTCAGTCTCCAATTACTCTGCTTCTTGCTTTTTAGTGGAATGCATTCAGATTACTTGTAGTTTTAACTAAATTATCTTTATATTTTTGATTATTTTGGAAAATCTATGATGCACAGAAATCTAGAACAGGTGGTGGATTTTGATCTGTTATGTTAAATTCGGTAATGATGTTCATAATTAGAGCTCAAAACCTATAAACTGTGCTTTTGTTTAGTTAGGCTGTTGGAAAAATCAGCCTAGGCGCTAGGCGGGTCTAGGAGGGTCTAGGCGGGTCCCTTTTTTTTTTTCTTTTTTTCTTCTGACTTTAGCTCAATTATGAAATCGCTTCAATTTCTGATGGCCGCTATACGAAAACTAGCTTTTGATTATGTGTTTGGCATCCTGAAAAGAGAAAGATGTGGTAGAAAAGTTATTACTAGAGGGAGCAATAGAGATTTTAGCCTGTAAAAGTAATATGTAATTGTTAGGAATCTGGTTTGGCCTAAGTTGGATGAGTAGTTGGAAATCCTGACTGAATCAGACATGGGGAATGTACAGACACAGAAACGCATAGTCGGGCTTTGCTTGTTGTCATAGACTATGAAGCCGCAATTCACCTCTGGAAGGTTGACAAGTTTGACTTTGTTGTCTGCACGAGTGCCTATATCGGCATCGTTTTTGGCAGCTTTGAAATTGGACTAGTCTTAGCAGTACGTATCATTATTGTGTGTGACGGTAACACTATATCTAACAACTTAAAACTACGCATTAGAACTAATATTTCTTTTTTCTTCTGTGTAGGTTGCAATATCTGTGATCAGGGTACTTTTGTTTGTGGCAAGGCCAAGGACTTTTGTTGAAGGAAACCTTCCAAATTCCATGGTTACAGAAATGTTGAGTAGTATCCCAATGCAATCAATGTTCCTGGAATTCTCATACTTGAGATTGATGCTCCCATTGACTTTGCAAATACCAACTACTTAAGAGAAAGGTACTAATTAATTAAACTTGAGTAAGAACTAAAGATTTGGAGCTTAAGATAGATAAGTGGCTTATCTATGGGACTGGGAAAGAGACATCCCACTTTGTTTGAGAAGGTTTGAATCAGACATTTGATTTTTATGATGATTACACAAATTTTCATATACAAATTGACTGAATAACTAGTGTAGTGCTTCAAGTTACCAATCGCTTCTAACCAAGGTGCTTTCTGATAGTGCCACCATACTCATTAAACATAGAGACCTCTGCGTGTCATTCGTTCGATTCTAATAATTTCCAAGTGTTAAGTTGGTTAACTGGCCTAACGTTTGAGCCATAAATTACTGAAACAGTCTCATGATGAAAGAATTGATTGCGTTCTCATGATTATTTGTGATCATAGAAACTGCTTTCCAGAAATCCTTTAATCTTCTCTAATGTATTTTGTTTCATTTGTAGGCACACAGGTTGGAGAGGACTTGATGAAGGCATCATTATAGTTGGGACTTGCATGATTTAAAAGATACAATGGCTGGTTGCATGTCAACCCCATCCAAAACAATTAAATGACCGAAAAAACACTATCAAAGGGTCATCAAACGCCCTAGAAAGGCAACCTGCTCCGCTTCAGATGGTACCAAGAAAAGAAATACCAGTTTCAAGAAAAGAAATAGTGATGCAGGAGCTCGCGTGAGTGACTATGCTGTTAGTGAGTTTGTTGATGTGGACTTTGAGAATGGTGCAAGAACTACTCACAGAAGATCTAAGGTTTCTAATTCAACATTCCATCTCACCCAGCTGCAATGGCACCACAGTCAATATGATTCGAATTGTGTGTGCTTTCTTTCATCAGATTTCAACTATCTTTCAATTTCAACCAATAGTGCTTACAAGAAAATTCATAGCTCTTGAATCTCATATTTTGAAAGTTATTCATTCGCAGTAATTTTCCAAGGGGAAGCTTGGTTTGACTCAGTGAGTATTCTGGAGTCTGACTCGGATAATGACTTTATCAGTATACATGGAGGTATTGGCCATCGGCCTGTAACGACATATTACAGAATGAAAGCCTTGTGGTCTTGTTTGATCGCAAAACGTCATTACTACAGAAGTAATTTTTCTTGAGCTACTTATTGGAAAAGGACTTTGTTTTGTTTTCTTAATTTTCTTCTCTTATTCTACAGATGGTTTTCCATTAGCAAGCAATCCAGTTGGGAATATCTCAAGTGGCCAAGTACTTCAGTACGAAAGATCTGCTCGCTTTGTTGATAATGAGTGTAAGTATGAAGAATACCAAAGCTATATGAAAATAGATGGAGGTAAATCAGATAAAATCATAGGAAAAGATGAGCGCAGGGAATCAAATTGGTTTTCGCTTATTAGTACCCAAGGCTATGAGTTTTCTCGCTTAGGGAAGGCTGATTAAGTTCGTAGTAAGAGGAAGAATATATTAGATCACTCTTATGGAAGCTTTAAAGGACTTAGAGGATGGAAGTGATTTTAATGAAAAAATTCAAGACAATGCCCTGAAATCCGGCTTATCTCGATTGGTACCTTCTGTAAGTTTCAACGATAAGATTCTAAGTGCACAGAGTGTGGTTCAGACTTTCTTTTAAAAGGAGATCATGTGATGCAGAAGAAACCATTGAACAATGTAAGTATTCAAATAATTCAATTGTCTTTGAATAGAAACAAAACTTAGAATATTGGGATTGATGTACATGTATATTACTGAACATTTCAATGATATATCCATAGGTCAATCAAAAAGGTTTTTGTATCGGCCTAGACGAGGATATATCATTCCATGTTGTAGAGTAGAGAAGCCGACTTCAGGATCTTGGTCTGCGATTCCACCCTCACCTTTTAAATTCCGTGGCGAGAACTATTTCAAGTATGACTTTGGTTTTTTCTTTTGTCAAAACCAACCTTAATTGAATTTAGACATTTGCAACTAATTACTCTGTTCTGCCTTGCTAATGATAATATTAATTTTTGTTGGTCTACCATCTAGAGATAACGAAATTCAACTGCTCCGAACTACATTCCATATACTCCAATAGGTGTTGATGTGTTTGTATGCGCTAGAAAGATACATCACATTGCCCAGCATCTTGAGCTTCCCAAAGTGAAAGCAAATGGGAAAATGTTCATTGTAAACATACAGGTATTTTTTCATAATGGATTTATCTTGTTATGTTTTGTTTGTTATATTTTGGCAATATATAATGATATTTCTGCTCTGCGCCTTGTTGCAGTTGCCTACTTATCCTGCTGCAATGTTTCTTGGTGATAGTGATGGAGAGGGGATGAGTCTTGTAATGTATTTCAAAGTTTCTGAGAATTTTGATAAAGACATCTCTCCTCAATTCCAGGACAACATCAAGGTAACTTTATTTTTTATGCAACTTCATCCATTTGGATAGGCATGTACTTTATTCTGATGTACTCTCCCTGATGGAAATGTGATCTTATGTTCTATTGGAACACTTAAGTCTGTTGATACATTTGAATGATGCTTTTATAAAATGGTTGAAGATGAGACGAAAAAAGTTAAAGGATTCGCAAAGGACCCCACTGTACCTTTTAGAGAAAGACTAAAGATCTTGGCTGGGGTGGTAAATCCTGAGGATCTTGGTCGGAGTTCTGCTGAGAAGAAGCCTTTACATGCATATAATGACAAACCATTTCTTTCACGCCCCCAGCACAATTTTTACAAGGTAAACATTGAACATTTATGTTGCTGAGTGTTAAGATGATGAAACATAAAAACCATGTTGTTTGACTATATCAAGCTCTCTCACATGCAGGGTCCTAACTACTGTGAGATTGATCTGGACATTCATCGCTTCAGCTACATATCAAGGAACGGTCTCGAATGGATTCGAGTACGTCTAAAAAACGGAATACCGGCGCGGCTATACTCGTGAAATATTCTATTTATAGCGTATAGCCGCGTGGCTATACTTTTAAAATATATCTTTTAAAATATTCTGTTTATGGAGTATAGCCGCGCGGCTGTACCATTAAAATATTCTTTTTAAGGCGTATAGTTGAGCGGCTATACTTTTAAAATATTCTTTTTATGGCATATAGTCATGCGGCTATACTTTTAAAATATTCATTTTATGGAGTATAACCGATCGGCGATACTGTTTAATATTCTATTTATAGGGTGTTGCCGAGCAGCTATACTGTTAAAATATTCTTTTTATGGCGTAGAGCCGCACGGCTATACTCTCTTTTAAAATGTTCTGTTCATGGCTTTTAAATATTCTTTTAAAATATTTTATTTTACGAATATAGCCGCACGGCTGTATTCTTTAAATATAACCACCAAAATCTAGATTTCTCTGTAGCAAAGCTGAGCCTTGAGATAATGAATCAATTAGACATGGTATGTATTTACGTTCTAGCTTTGTTCCTCTATGTGCGTTTAGGGTTGATAGAAAATTTATGTCTTGTTTGTGTTTTGCATATGTATGAGAAGTGATATAATGACGTTGCTTATCTTTTTAGGTGTCCTTTGTCATATTTCCTAAATATATTCGAATATTTAAATAGTATAGCAGCGCATCTATATTCAAATAATAATATAATTACTAATTGAAGTAATTTTAAAAAGCTAAGATATTACTTAATGACATATATATTAAATTAAAGAAGTTGGGGAAAAAAAAATAAAAGTAAAGAAACTAATTTTATATTTTAAAAATAAATAAATAAAAAGCATGATGGAAAAAGAAGGTCCCCTGCGGACACAAAAGAACACCTCTAATGATTAGTTTATTGAAGATGTTTTTTTTTTATAGTAATTAGTTTATTGAAGATGTTGGCTTACAATAAAATAGGTCATTTAAATAAGTAGATCCAAAGCACACCTAACCCATCAAGCTGGCCCCTAGATTTGGCCTTCTCTCAGTGGTCCATTTTAAACTAGTTTTTTTATTTTATTTTTGGATGTAGTCTCTCTGGCTCTGCTAGATTTAACTGAACTCTTTGAGATGATAAGATAGAGGGATCTTGGAAGTGAAAGCAAAGCTAGCTAGGCTGCAGTGCAGATACCCTTTCGTTGCTAATGGAGGTAAGAGGTAATTGATCCCATCCCAGGAACAACAAGTTACAAGTTACAAGTTAGAGAAGGAGACAAATGGAACCATTTAATTCTTTCTATCTGCAGCAACATGGTGTGTTGTTTGGTCAAAGTGGGGACATAAAAAAACTGGTATTAGTTTTAGGAGTGCAGAGAAGAGATCAAAGAAAGATGGCGTGGACCCCATATGTTTATGTAAAGTGGTCACCTCCTCTCCAATTCCATTCTTCTTTTCTTGCTTGCAATTTGCACAGCTGAGGCTTCCCTCTACTCTCTGTGTTCTATGTATATGTCCTTTCACTTTTGCCATGGTTGGTTTCAATTTCAAACAAGTTCAATGAATCCAAGCCAACAGTCACAGACTCACAGCATGAGGAGGGCTAAGACTTTGCTTCTTCTTGTTGGACGTTCAAAGAGAAACACCAGAGACAGATAGAGACGTTTTGCCCCTTTCTTTTGGTTTGGGCCAGCTACCGCCACAAGACAAGAGATTCAGCTTTGGATGCTTCTCGTCCTAAATCCTAATGAGTTGTTGGGATTAATGAAAATTGTTTATCGCTAAGCCTGTAAAATGGGTCGGGTCGGGCCAGCTCGCTCTGTAAGCCCAAGCCCTACCCAGTAACAGGTTGTTTCAGCCAATGACGGATCCAGGATCCGTAACCCAAGGGGTCATAGTGTAAATGTTCCAAAAGAAAATTTTAGAGAATTTTTCCTTTTTTTAATCTATTTTTTCAAGAGCTGCTGCTGCTTTGTTTTTCTAAAGCATGCAGCACTTCTATATATTTATATTGACTGTTAAAATAGTTTTTTTATTTGTTAGATAATCTTCTATTTTATATTGGCCCATAGGATAAAGTTTTTAAATAATTCACACATTACCATGAAGCCAAACCTCATAAAACCGATAAAACCAAAACTAGCCCATTAAACCCATCGACAATGACAAGAGGCAGCCAAGTGTTGAACGCTAAACCCACCGTTTCACTAAAAGAGGCTAATCACAAAACGGTGTGTTTCGTTTATAAGGGCACCAAGAAAAGCCAGACATCGTCTTCTTTGCCCAGCACACAGTGCCTCCTCTGCAACTCAGAAAACCTTACTAAAGGAGGCTCCCCTACCCCTACCAAGCTCTGGTGTAACAACCCAAACCTTAATTATTATTTAATTATTAATTTAATAAAGGAAAAGACTAAACTACCATCGGAATAATTTATTAAGTTTTAAGTTGACTTTTTGACCGAGAAAGAATTTGGAAAATTCACTTGTACCACTGCGTAGAGCACGACAAAACGAGTCCGTAGACACGTAATGGGCTCAATTCCGAGTCGTATTGAAGATAATACGATCAAATTGTGAAAAAGGGCATAATTGAAATTTTGGAAAAAAAGTCAGATTTTTAAAAACCAGATTTCTTCTCTCTCTCCTCACTCTCTCTCTCCCCACATCTCTTCTCTCTCTCCCTCTCGATTGTTCAGCCGCCACCCTCCCCAATTTGCAGCCACCTCCAGCCGCCACCACACCTCACCGGACCAGCCAAGGAAGCACCGCCGCCACCTCCGCAACCCAGCCAGCCTGCTCCGCCGTCCAGCTGCCACGAAGCTGCCAGAAAAACCCAGAAAATCGCGGCAGATTTTCTCCGATTTTCAAATCCCTCAAACTCCCTCCTTCGGCCACCAAATCGGACGGATTAGGTACGGTTTTTCGACTGATTTTCATGCTCTAGCTGATGGTTGGGTAGGATTGGAGAGATTTTGAGGTTTAAGAGGTTAATTTTCGAGTTAAGTTTCTGCCGAGCTTAGGATGCCGGAATCAGTCACTTCCGGTCACCTTTTGGCCTTAGTCCAAGAACAAAAGTGGTTCCAAATTTGGTGTTTTACCTAAACTAGGAGTTTGGGCCGGCGGTTTAGAGATTTTCCGGTCGCCGGAATTGTTAGGCACACCCACACGCGGCCGGCGCGTGGGCGGCGCGTGGGCCAGGTATTAGGTATGGTTTTTCGACTGATTTTCATGCTCTAGCTGATGGTTGGGTAGGATTGGAGAGATTTTGAGGTTTAAGAGGTTAATTTTCGAGTTAAGTTTCTGCCGAGCTTAGGATGCCGGAATCAGTCACTTCCGGTTACCTTTTGGCCTTAGTCCAAGAACAAAAGTGGTTCCAAATTTGGTGTTTTACCTAAACTAGAAGTTTGGGCCGGCGGTTTAGAGATTTTCCGGTCGCCGGAATTGTTAGGCACACCCACACGCGGCCGGCGCGTGGGCGGCGCGTGGGTCAGGTATCAGGGACCACTCTTGGTCCCAGAACGATCCTCGTGTCCTCACGAGCGCGTAGGATTTCACGGATCTCAATTCGGATAACGTTTGAACCCCGAACGGATCTCGCATAGTGTGCGTTTTCCGGGTTCAATACGTTCGGACCGTTGGATCGTAGTCAAACTGGAGTATGTCGTTCTAGGTAATTTCAGGATCGTGTAGGATTCGACGGATCGTCAATCGGAGTCCCGGATGCTCCGAAAAAGCCAACCCTAGGGCTAGATTTACGGAAAATCGTTCGTTCGTCTGATCGTGCGATCGTGAGCAATCCGACCGTCCGATCAAGACCAAACTCTCGAGACATGTGTCCTAGGCTTGTTGGAACCTCTAGGAACGATCAGATCGGAATTCTGAGGTCGTGGACCCCACGGGGTCCCGAGTTGACTTTTAGGGACTTTATCGCTTTTGAGTCCCGAGATACTTCTAAAGCGTGTCCACTGAGAGGAAAAGCTAATGTGGGCATAGGAATGACTTTTAAAGTGATGCACGCACTTTTAGGAGCCGGGGGTCAGGGTTTTTAATTTAATATTATATTACTGAGCAGAGTTTTTAATAAAATATTATGATGGTTATACAGGCACCCGGGCACCAGGTGACCCGCAGGAGGGACCTTCAAAGGGTCCAGCTAGCTCAGAGTATCTGTGAGTGGACTGTTTGTTTTATAAACGTTTTATGCATTTTAATTTCATTATTTGATCTTGAATAAGTTTTACTGAATACAGCTTTCCTAGCATGACTTGATAGATTTAAATATTTCTGTTTATTTATGTGCTGCCTAGTGGAACATTTAAAAAGGGATTTGGAAAGTTAGAACTGAGGTATTATCAGATTAAATGGCAGCAGGATTTAAGGAATAGTTTTATAAGTAGTTTTATAAACTTTAATCTTTTTCAAGAATTATATATATATATACATTTATTTTAAGCCACCATAGGTACCCAAGGTTGCCTTCAGTATAATAAATGTTGCCTCGGAAATAAAGTTGCCTTCGGAATAAAATTATGTTGCCTTCGGTTATATTGATGTCGACGGACATCCAGTTGCCTTCGGGTAAGTCAGCATGCTAGACACCGCCCCACGAGTTTCGGGGACGTCCAAACCGTGGGTGTGAGGAATGCGGATCAGGCCGACCAAGTGTCCCCTGAATTCTGCTAGGATTGCGGCTCGGGTTGACTTTGTGTTTCCCGAGGTCTGCTAGGACGTGTCACTCCGGTGGCATGAGAATGGAATTGACGGATTATAAAGGAATTGACGGAAATTAAAGGAATTGACGGATTACTAAATGGGTACACCTAGGTGGTAGATTTAAAGTGTTTTCAATGTTTTCAAAGACTTAATAATTGATCAAGTATATGATTGATATATATGTATATAAATATGATTACATTGATTTCAGTACAATTATGAATAAAGAAATGTTATAGTTTCTTAACTGTTTTTACAGAGGGGTTAGTATGTTCTTATGCTACTTTCTAAACTTTGTTTTTGGTCCACTCACCTTTTTAATGTTTTGCGCCCCCAGGCAGTAGTCGTGCGTCAGTGCGCCACCACCGGGCCGAGTCCATTTTCCGCCGCCTTCCTTGACAAAGTAGGGTTTTGTTTATTTATTTTTGTACTTGTAACCTACTCTGTATAAATGCTCTGATATTGCCCTAGAACACTTGTCTAACTGTTAGTATGTAAAATCTTTGTATACTGGCAGTTGGTGTATATTTTTATATGCATGTTTGACAGGTGTAATCTTGGGTTTGGTCCATTTCAGGGGAGACTCTGCTGAGTTTTTCGGCAGAAGTCAAACTCCAGTTGTTTTAGAAATTGTTTGACTAGAAGGGCAATTAGGTCATTTGTGCCCGGCACTTGCCAGGTGTCGGACACGCACATGGTTCGGCTCGGATTCCAAAGTGGAATTTGGGTCGGGTCCTGTCATCTGGTGTGTTCGGTCTCTGCTTCGTGGAATAGAGCCATCACAGACTCAGAGACAAGCTGGGACTTTCATCGAGCACCTGGTGTGCACACAAGGGGTTTCTCCGTAGCTGTCCAAGGGGTCGTCCATGGAGTACACAACCAAATTTCAGGCATTCCAAGGGGTCGTTAGACCCCTCTTGTCCCAACGTGCGCCCGCTTCTGGTTTCAGCCCTAAAGAGTGAATGGGTCGGTTGGGCCAACCCTATGTTAAACATATTAAACTCAAGGCCTACCCAAGGGCTAAAAAATTTCGGGCTTATGGGCCGAGCACATTGGCTTTGCTTTATGTTCTATATTGGAAATGCTCGTGTGCCTCTCTCTGCCTAGAATGGATCTAAGTGGCACGCTTAAGTGTATTTTAACATGCTAATAGAAACTATTTAATTAAAAAACTGCTAAAAAGAACCTAGAAATGGTTAACTGGCTAATATTAATTTTTCTACCGTTGATTATGGCTTTCATTTTCTTTTGGAGAAAACATTACACATAATGCCGAAAGGAATCAAATATTGTTGGATAATATTATTTATATTGTTACATTACATATAAATATAAATAATATTAATTAATTTATAAATTATTTAATTATAATTGGGTTGGGCCAGACTGCCCAATGGCTTAAAATCATAGCCCAAGTATTTCCTATTACATAACGGGTTGGGCAGTGTAAGCCCATAGCCAAGTAAATAAGGCTGGTTTCGTGCTTGCCAATTGACCCTGGGCTGTTTTAAAAGGCCTATCTATAGACTCCACAATTGGATTCTTAGTGGCTTTCATATACGTAGAAGAAGTTGTTCGCATTCATTGGTTTTGTTGAGCCCAAAAATAGACACAACTTAGAAGTGAGCATGCTTTGGTCTTGTGGGCCCTTCAGCACATATGAATACATATGTGGAGACGAAAGGCAACTGTAAGATTTTAGACACCAATGTGGTACCGACCGAAAGTTCTGCGATGCTTAAGTTAGCTTAAGGACGAAATGAGTAAGTAATTGGACAGACTATGGGTACATATGCCAATTTACTATTATATGATGCTTTGGGAAAAAGCCCAATTTATAAAGGAGAAAAGTGGAGCACTTTGGATTATTCTTTCGATGTGGGGGCTATGGTCATTGCTCGAGAGCATGCCATGTGTCCCCACTCAAAAGTAACGCGACAAGTACTAGTGGCTCAAAATGGTGTAAATTTGACGCATGGGCGGAACTAGGCTAATGGCTATAGTGGGCTGTAGCCTAGGGAGGTTTTTGGGGATAAAAAAAAATTCAAACCAATATATTTGACTTATTTTAAATATAGCCAAGTATGTATTAACCTATTAAAGTAAAAAAAAAGTCCAATTTTTTTATGAATTTAATCGCAGGGCATCATTAAAAATATACATGAAAATATGTACACTTACAATTATGTTGTTGAACATATTTTCATTTTGATAATATGTGTTTTTTGGTTGCATTTAATTTGTATTTGTTTTATGCTAAAACTTATGGGAAATTAGCATTTAGCCTTGTACTCGAGGAACTAGTGTGGTTTATATAATTTAATGTATATTTTTATCTCTAGAAACACAATAGAAATTGTAAGTACAAAAGAAAATGATTATTAGATTTTTAAGCTAATAAATTTAGCTAGTCCACCTATTAATAAATTCCTGGTTCCGCCCTTGATTTGACGATTCTTATTGCCTACCTATGATGTTTGCCGCTACTTTTATGATTAGCTTGAGCACCAACGTCAAGTGAACATGCGGCGTCGCTTGATAAATGGGAGGATTTTGAGGTATTCTTAGCACATCTGCAAATATGGGCTAAAGTGTTGAAGAAATGCCATATGGAAGTTTCATTTGGCCCGGTTGACTGTGCAGTCGATGAAGACATCGTCGACGAGCTCGGTGACTTAGACAACGGTCAACAGTTGAAGTGGCCCGCCGGAGTAGTTCATGCAAACAAATTTATGTCTTTTATTGAGGAGAGAGTAAAACGACCCTATAATCGAATCTAGAGACATTGGTGTAATTCCCCATCTAGGTGTAATAATCTAGAATAAGACATGGCCGAGCTTTAGAAATTGTGCACAATACATATCTTAATCTCATCTTCCCAGCAGTAGATGTAACAACTTTGTTTTGTTGAGAATCGGATTCATCCGTACTTGTATCCCACAATACGGCATATAATCCACTCAAAATCAGTAGTCCGCCTTGTATGCTCAGATTTGAAGTGATACAGCTGTTGGAGTTGGCTCGACTAAACGAAGGAAAGAAGGAAGAAGCCCAGCATGCAGGCGCTCGAGCGGCAGAGGCATCTTGGCGCAGGCGCTCGAGTGGATCGCGATTTCCTGTTTCAAAACATGTCAATTTTTGGCCTAATTTTGGGAGGTTTTTTAGTTTCCTATTCCTTGTATGATTGTGCTAAAGGCCTATACATATAAATATGTACTTTAGACTAGGGTTTATAAGAGATTCAAGATACACAAACCTAGGGTGAGAGAAAAGAGATCTAGAGAGAGAGAGAGAGAGAGAGAGAGAGATCAAATGGAGTTCTTAGTTCTTTATTGTAACCAAAGGGATTTTTCTCATACTAGTGAATTTTCTCGGGGATCACCGGAGAGGACGTAGGCACGACGTCGAACCTCTGTGTTGCAGGCGACAAGGACGAAGAATGTTCTGGTACTAAGTCACAACGGGTATCAAACACAAAGGTGGAGTTAAAGCCGTTCACCGGCAAGGAGAACTTCACGCTTTGGCAAAGAAGAATGAAGTATGTTTTTAAGCAGCAAGGTCTCAGCAAAGTTTTGGAAGGCAAGGAAAAGAAGCCGGTAACCATTACAGATGCAAAGTGGGATGACTTAGACGAGCTTGCTAGAGGATCCATCGAACAACATCTAACTGATGAGGTGTTGTGTAATGCGATGGAAGACACCGCAAAGCAAACATGGGAAAAGCTAGAAGAGATGTTTGCGTCAAAATCATTGTCCAACAAGCTTTTCTTGAAGGAAGAGCTTCACTCTCTTAAGATGGAGGAGGGCGCAAGCATGATGGAGCACGTAAGCGCCTTTAATAGGTGTATTGCTGACTTGCAGAGAATGGATGAGGTTTATAAGTCGGAAGACAAGGCCGTGATGTTGTTGACATCCCTGCCACCGTCTTATAAACACTTTCGCACGACGCTTATGTTCGGGAAGGGAACCTTGAAGTATGAAGAGGTCATGCAAGACATCTTGACGCATGACAGAATGGTTCAACGTTCCGGTGGAGTCTCTCAAGGTGAAGGTCTTGTGGTCAAGTCCGGAGAGGGAGGTAGATCGAGCAAGCGTGAGGGCAAGAAGAGCAATAAGGGAAGTTATGATGCACTTGCTATTAGCATTGTTAATACTGATGCACTTGCTATTACTTCCAGGGTTTCTGCTTCTGATTGGATTTTGGATTTCGGGTGCTCGTATCATATGTGTTCAAACAAGTCTTGGTTTGACACATATGAGATGGACAATGGCGGCGAAGTTATGATGGGGGACGGCTCAGTTTGTAGAGTCGAAGGAACAGGTACAATCAAGGTGAAGATGCATGACGGTGTGGTTAGAACATTGGGTATGGTTAGGTACATACCTAAGCTGAAGAAGAATCTCATCTCCCATGGTACTTTTGACAAGAATGGTTATTCGTATAAGTGTATGGGAGGAAAGCTCATAATTTCGAAGGGTTCACTCGTGATTATGAAATGGGAGATTCAACCTAACTGCCTATATCGACTATGTGGTACAACAGTGACCGGTGGAGCAGCTATATCTACCAAGAAGAACTCAGAAGATGATACTCAACTTTGGCATTTGAGGCTAGGGCACATGAATGAGCGAGCCATGCAAGAGTTGCACAAACGGAAGCTTCTAAAGGGCGTGCACAGTTGCAAACTTGAGTTCTGTAAGTATTGTACCATGGGGAAGCAGTCGAAAGTGACACTCAAGCTGCAAGACAAGGAAAAAGGAGCACGAGAGTGCTTGACTATATTCACTCGGATGTATGGGGGCCCGCGCCAGTTAAGTCATTGGGTGGAGCTCGGTACTATGTTACTTTCTTGGATGATTTTTTCTAGAAAGGTTTGGGTCTATTTCATGAAGGAGAAATCCGATGTCTTCACAAAATTCAAGGTGTGGAAGGCAGAAGTAGAGAACCTGACAGGAAGGAAGATCAAGGTCCTTAGGAGTGACAACGGGGGGGAATATAAAGATAGCAAATTTCTGGAGTTTTGCAAGAGCGAAGGTATCAAGAGGCATTTTACCGTGAAGAAGACGCCCCAACAGAATGGAGCCGCAGAGAGGATGAACAGAACTCTCATGGAGCGTGAGAGGTGCATGAGGATTCATGCAGGCTTGCCCGAGCCATTTTGGGAGGAGGCGGTTAACCACGCTTCCTATTTGGTTAACCGGTCACCATCAAAGTATCTTGATTTCAAGTGTGCGAAAGAGGTATGATCTAACAAGTCTATTGAGTATTCTATTTTGAAAGTATTTGGATCCAGTGTCTATGCTCTTATACCTAGTGATGAGAGAACCAAGTTGAAGCCAAAGTCTCTTGAATGCATATTCCTCGGGTTTGAGAATGGTGTGAAGGGTTTCAAGTTATGGGATCCATTGAACCGGAAGAAGATACTCAGTAGAGACGTTGTCTTTGAGGAGAAGACTATGCCTATGATTAAAGTCAAGAAACCAGAGGTGAAGGAGAATGTTGTTGGGACAGAAACAACCGTTACAGAATCATCTAGTAGAGTGTTCGGGGGTACTCCGAGTTTGCAGCCAATTGGAGACGTCCATGAAGCAGTGGAGTCCGACACTGAGGTGGAGGAATTTGGGCAACAACAACAGACTCAAGAAGAAGAAGAAGAAGAGGCTCAAGATCAGGTGGAGCCACTATTCATAGCAAGGTCCAGTCCCAAGAGAACCATCAAACCTCCTCAACGGTTTGGATGGGAGACGAACGTAGTTCACTATGCTCTAAACATAAGTGAAGGAGACCCAACTACGTTCCAAGAAGCAGTTGAGAGTGCGGAGCGGGAAAGTTGATGAGATAGAATCTCTACACCGGAACTCCGTTTGGGAGTTGGTCCCTAAACCCAAAGACAGAAAGGTGATTGGCTGCAAGTGGGTGTTTAGGAAGAAGGAAGGAATATGTGATAAGGAGCCAACTAGATTCAAAGCTCGTCTAGTGGCGAAGGGATACTTACAGAAGGAAGGAATTGATTATGATGAGATTTTTTCCCCGGTTGTAAAGCATACTTCTATACGGTTATTGCTCTCCATAGCAGTACAGTGGGACATGGAGGTGGAGCAAATGGATGTGAAGACAGCTTTTCTCCATGGAGACTTAGAGGAAGATATCTATATGAGTCAACCTTAAGGGTTCGTTGAAGCAAGTAAGGGAAATCTGGTTTGTAGGTTGAATAAGTCTTTGTATGGGCTCAAGCAATCTCCAAGACAGTGGTACAAGCGCTTTGACACTTATATGCTGCGGATTGGGTATAGAAGATGTGAATCGGATTGCTGTGTGTATTCTCATGTGTTCAAGGATGGGAAGATCATTCTGTTACTACTTTATGTGGATGATATGCTGATTGCGCGTCAAGATGTGTCAAAGGTTCAAGAGTTGAAGATCCAACTTGGGAAGGAGTTTGACATGAAGGATCTTGGACCCGCACAAAAGATCCTAGGAATGGAAATAAGGAGAGACCGAGATGAGGGCAAGTTGTGGCTGTCACAAAGCAAGTACATAGCTAAGGTACTTGAAAGATTCAATATGTTGGATTGCAAGCCCATATCTACTCCTTTGGCGGAGCACTTCAGGCTAAGTGCCCAAGAGACACTACAAGGAAAAACCCTTTCGGCGACCATCATCTTTGGTCGCTAAAAGCTGATATTTCATCGCTAGGTTGGTCGCCCAAAGCTCGTGGCTGAAAGTTAAAATGACAAAAGGCGACGAAAATTGATTTTCGTCGCGAAAAAAATTTCGCGACCAATTGGTTTCGTCGCCTTAAAGTAAACAGTTGGTTGCCTATAAAGACAGGTTCCCGCGAAAATACCAAAATATGCCGCCAACTGTGGAAGGATTGGGCGACCAAAGAGATTTGTTTGTCGCCGATAGTTTCTGGTGACTATGAGATTTGGTCGCTAAAGCTTACTTAGTTGGTCGCTAAAACATGCATAATTTAAGTATTTAATTTTGTTTTTATAGTGTTATATATATATATATATATATATATATATATATTGTTTTGTGATAATATTAACCTTTTGTTCATTAACATATTGAAATTAAAAAATAATAATAATAAATTTAGGTAAATAGACTAATAGAAAATGACATAAATAAAAGTTTTTCCCATTCAAAGGTACAAAAGTCATTCAAATACACATAAAGGTGCCATATATCTAGAAATAGTAAACATGAACAAGTGGAGGCCCAACTCCATATATTTTTGCCCTTTGTAAAGTTTTGCAGTCACTATTTCCCTATACACTAAGACTAGAGACCAATCATGCATCCTATGCCCTTTGTAACCCCAAGTTTTGTTGTCATGATTTCTAACATTTGTGGGTTAGGGACCGTGATATGATCTCGTGGAATTCCCAAGCACTTTGCCAATTGTTGCTTGATCTTCTCAAACTCAGCCATGATATTCCTTTACAACAAAAAATATAAATTCATGTAGAAGGAATTAGAAAGAATTGTAATTGGAAAATGCACTATCTTTATGTAGAAGGAACAATACATGTTGCCACTCCAAAATAACAATTCATATTCCTAAAAACTTAGCAAGAAAGTAAACAAGTTAATATAAGATAATATCCTTAAATCTCTTCATTACTTATCTGCCTATAACATTAAATACATGGATTATGGTTTAGCTTTTTCTCATAGCTCCTTGATTTATTTTACACAACTATCTTAGAGCTGCTAGACTTTGAATAGAATATAACTTAGTTAGTGCTGTGCAATATCAATCCATGAAAGAAAAATAAAGCAAAAGTGAAAAAAAGAACGAACACTGTCTATAACAGTAAAGACATGGTTTACTTATTTTTCACACCTCAGCATGCTCCAATCAAAATAACTACCACACAAGTCACATATATTGAAATTGATTTCATCAACTTCGAATCAAATTACTATCCCATGACAATACATAGAGGCTACAGACCTGTTTCTCAAAAAGGAAGCATCCCATATCCTATTCAACGTGTTTAGTGAACTAATAACAATAACAATAATAGTATGCAGAAGTCCTTGGTAGAGCTATGAAGGTATTTTGGTTTAGGACCAGCTTTAATTTAAAATATGATTCCTTTTAGTGTTAAAAATTAATAAAAACACAAGGACAATGATATATCAGATTGCTCAAAACAAAAAATTATGTTGTAGACCAAAGGGGCAGCAGCAAGGTAAAATGAATACAAGCTGCAATACCAGTTAACCAAAATAGAAATCTAAGAGATCTTATTTAAGAAATACATCTAATTTGTCCAATCTCTACTGATAGCATGGCCTGCTAACCAAATCCTTGAGAAAGCCCATCAATTTCTCATAATCCTGGAGACTCAAGATTAACCAATAACTTCTCCGAGAACATGACTTGACAAACATACACTTCTACAATTGCAGAAACTAGCAAAGAAATCATCTCATTTCAGTTAAATGTGAAAACAAAAAAGGAGCTAGCCCGCTAAAGAACAAGCTATGTACATTGAGATTCAAGTGTCTAGTATAATCATTTAAAAAGTACACAAAAATGGAACAGCTAGAAGCATACATGGAAAAATAAAAACATGGACCTAGATCTGATTTTACGAAAGCAAAACAAGGCAAATAACTTAAGTTTGGGAGAGGTTGAGACCAAATTATACTCAAAATATGTCACTATAGGCAAGACTAATTGTTTACAAATCTTCAACATGGGTGAACTGAAAATCAGGTGTTTAATTCATAGTAAGAGTCCCAATAGAACTGATGAAATCTCAAATTGAAAAGCTAGGCTTTCTAATATAAGGAGCAATAAAGACATATAAGAGGAGATCTTATATCTTATGCTTCATCTAATAAGTTGAACAAGACATGTAATTCAAATATTTAAAAAACAGAACTAGAAAAAATGTGCTTGAGGCCAATGCATAGGAACTCACCAATTTGGTAGGTATGTGGCAGGAATGGGTTCTCCAACTCTGGAGCTGTTTGAATGCACAACTGCAATAAAGAAAACCACAACTAGTGAATTATTCTGAAATAAACTCAACTATCTCTAAATCTATGAGTACAATCTGCTACCTTAAGTATACATAACAGGAGAAACTCCATATAGTAGAACAATAGGAGCAAAATAAAGAGGGTCTCGTTTTTCATTCAATAGTAAGCTCTGTGGGTTACATCGCAGCCCATTGCGCTACACTGGGGTTAGATATGCATAATTAGCAAGCATTTCATACTGATTTTAAAAAAAGTCAATATCCAAGAAATTAATATAGGTATTTGCAGTCATCAAATAAGTTCATGTGTATAACAGATTCCTAGAAACTTATTGCTTCAAATGAGAATTTGGTTTGGTTTCAAAAAGCAGAAAGCAATTCCTTATAGCTAAATCTTCTAGCCAAATTAAAATGGCTACTGCTACATCAAACCAGAGAAAAAGAGAAAAAGAGATAATCCAAATCAAATAGGCAATGTAAGTTTTTAAATAGCTCCTCAACCTGATTACCAATTCACAATCTCCACTAGCCAATAATGAGAGTAAAATTTCATCTCAGATGTTTGAAAATCAGATACGCAAGTCCAACTTCAAAATCCTAGTCATGTTAGACCCACTCTTTTCTAAGGCATTTTCCTACAAGCAGGAAAGCAAAAAACATAAATGTCCAACTTCAAAATCCTAGTCATGTTAGAAAAACTCAACCAACGGACAAATGTATAATGTATAACAGCAACCTTTAGAATACTCACTTCTTCTAAGTTGAACTTTAAACACTGGCAAAGAGATCTTTTAAAATGGAAATAGGGGAATACAAAATGATAACAGATAATTATTCATAGTACATAACCAAATATCTTTTGCAGACTAGAGACCTTATCAATTTAAGTGAATTCATTGAAGTCCTCTGATATATGAAAAGAGAAGGAATTTTTTTTTATAATACAGGGGTCTTTAAAAATTAAGTTTCAAAAGAATATGAGCCAAACAAGACTTTTTAAAAGGCACAACAAAGAAATAAAATTGTGGCACAATTTTTTATTTCTAATAAAGAGAAGGAAAACAAAGGATGCTCAAACCTGCCATCTGCAACAATAGTTTCACAGCCTAGCGTTGGTCTCTTGGTTGTCTGAAGGGGCCTTCAAGTCTTTAATAGCTACAATTATCTATAATGGAAAATTTTCAAATGGCAGTGCTCAATCAAGGTTGCTTCTCTTTTATTTCTTCTCACAATTTACATAAATGAAATATTAAAAGACCTGAAGATTTAAGTTCTAGAATGAAGGCTTAACAAAGAAATCTAAAAAATGCTAAATCATTGCAACATCCCACAAAGAAACAAAGCATCAATTACAAGATACCACCAGGCAACGCAAGCACAAGAAATCTTTATAAAAAAGGGTAAATCTTAACATTTCCATGATTCCAAACTCGTAACTCAAAATATTTAGAGAAGTTTTCATACCTAAAATAGAGGCAGCAAATGAGAAGTGGTTGAGGGGTCGTCGACCACCTCGTTACTAAGACAAAAACCAACTAAATTTTATTTTTACAAAATGAAAATAAAATAATTACAGAAAATTAGCTAAATAAATAATAAATAATAAAAGCACCTTTGAATCAGAGTTGGTATGTGGCTGAGCACATTGCAGAGAATCTCTAGTATATGTTGCCGTAGCAGCAAGTGGTTGGCATTAATGAAGGATGATTTTGGGAAAGAGAGTGAGAAATAAAGGCCATGAGAAATCTGAAGAGGGACGAAGAGATAGTGGGTATATAAGTGATTGGCCGGCATCGTTGGAAGATTTCATTGCGAGCGTCCGTGGACAAGGACGGAACCAGGAATTTTGATAGGGGTGGGCTAATTTTTTTTTTTCTTTTTCCAATAAGATATCTAACATAAGCTTGTTTGTCTTAAAGTAATATATACATCAACACCAAATTAAACACACATTGTCAAACCTCAAACAAATAATACATTGCTAAAAGAAAAAAAAAAAAAGAGCTTACCTAATGAAGTGGAACCCTACGCTCCTTGAGTGCATCAAAGTCATCGATTATTGAATCTGAATCAATGTTCACAGAAAATTTTTTCTCGATATAGACAATAAGGGAATCTACAAGATACTTATCTTCCATCTTGTTGCGAAGTACAGTCTTAAAGATACTCAAAAAGTTTAGGTTGATAAGGCCCCAATTTGATATAAGTCCTTCAAACCTCATTATGTTGATTAATGGGGTATTCACAAATTGCAATGTGTTTACTTGGATCCCGTTCTAAACAAGTAGCATCAAATTTTTTAGGGCCAATTATTCGAGATTCAAGATGATTAGGTTCTTCCGGAATTGAAGTATCATTCCCACTTTTTTTGAAGAATGAATCAATAGTTTTTCCTCTATTCTTTGTCAATCTACTATTATCATCATTTGACATTATGTCCAAACAAGAAATAATACTATAAAGATAGAGAAGCAATAATGCTAATGCAATCAGCAATCCAAAATATGAAATCCAAACTGTAGAAAGCAAAATTTCAATATACTGCCATACCATCAAGAACTATAGGTAACATAAGCCAAAATTTCAATATAAAAAAATCAATAAGATTATTCTACCTCAGTCAGCCTTTGGTAGAATTCCAATTTCAAATTTCCTTAATTTCTCAATACCTGTAGAAATACATATAAATCCAAATATTTAAAATGGCATTTTATCATTTACCAAATGTGCCATAAACACATAACATAGATTGAATTTTGAAATGAAAACTACAATGAAGTTTACCTCTTGAGAGAAAATCAGTATCGGCACATTCATTATCAAGTTCAAAGAGATAATGACAGGTTAATAGGGAAAAGAGAAGAATGTCTGTGCGAAATGAAAACAGAGGCTTGAACTTGATGTTAAGCCAAACAAGCCAAAGAAGAGAGCTGAAGGTTAATAGGGAAAAGAGAAGAATGTCCGTGCAATGGGAGAAGAGGTATACCAATATGTTGTTTTTTATTAGCTTATTATATTAGAGACAACATGATGGAATGTGATGAGCTTTATTTGTTGTTTTTGTCAAAGTAATATTAAACAGCCCAAGACAAGGACACATGTCGGCTGACATTAGCTAGGGATGATGGGCTAATATTTTTGGGAGTGAAAATAACAGTATAAAATTTGCACTCAGTTTAATTTTTTACAATTTTTGCAAGTGATTGGCCAGCATCGTTGGAAGATTTCATTGCGAGCGTCCGTGGAGGACGGAGTTGAAGGCATCGATGGTGTGGAAGATGGAGAGAGTGGATACGAGAGAAGTAAATTGGGGGAAGTAACCGGTTAGGGAAATGTTTTTAATTTATAGTCTCCTAGAATCAGCCACCAAGCTATTTGGTCGGCATCCATCAAATAAGGAAAACGACACAGTTTTAATACTTTATATTCTTTTTTACAGGAACCGCGACCAAAACAAATGGTCGCCAAGTTTCACAAAATATTTGGGCGGCATCTCACAAAATATTTTCGCGGCATCTCAAATTTAGAGACGACGCAAGCAATCTTAGAGACGAAATACTTTGGTCGCCAATAATTTTCAAGCTTAAAGGCGACCAATCTAAATATTGGTCGCCAATTCCTCCCCTAGCGACCAAATCTTTTGGTCGCCATTCGGACATATTTTATGGTCAATGAGTTTACAAATCTGACGAAATTATTGGCGACGAATTAAAAACTTTCGTCACCCATAACCCTCTTTGGCGACCAAATTTGGATTGGTCGCAAAAGATTTCGTCGCGAAAGACCTTTTTTCTTGTAGTGAGAGTCCTTCTAGTGACAAAGAGAAGGATGAGATGAGTAAGATTCCGTATGCAAGCGCAGTAGGGTGTCTCATGTACGCAATGGTTTGCACACGCCCCGACTTGGCTCAAGCTGTGAGTGTAGTTTCAAGATACATGGCAAATCCGGGTAAACAACACTGGAATGCGGTGAAGTGGATTTTCAGGTATTTGAAGGGCACCAAGAGGTTTGGGATTTTGTTTGAAAGACAACAAAGAAAGGCATGTGTGTTGGGATATGTGGATTCAGATTATGCGGGAGACTTAGACAAGAGAAGGTCCACCACAGGGTATGTTTTCGTTTGTGGTGGAGGACCGCTGAAGCGGAGTATATGGCACTAACGGAGGCTTCTAAGGAAGCATTATGGTTGCAAAGATTGGCACAAGAGTTCGGGATAGCTCAAGACCTGGTGGTGATTAAGTGTGACAGTCAAAGTGCTATATGTTTGGCCAAGAACCAAGTGTATCATGGAAGATCCAAACATATTCATGTACGGGACCACCGGATAAGGGATTGGGTGAACGAAGGGGACATTGCGATAGAGAAGGTTCATACAGATGAGAACGCTTTAGATTGCTTGACCAAGCCAGTTACAGCTGAGAAGTTCAGACATTGTTTGAGCTTGCTCAATCTTGTTACATGCTGAAGATTGAGGTGGAGCTCTTGGGAGTTACTAGAACGATTTCCAAGAGGTTTGAAGATGTTCTAGGGATCAATGGTTTTCACAAAGGTGTTTAGGCTCGCCAAGGTGGAGATTGTTGGAGTTGGCTCGACTAAACGAAGGAAAGAAGGAAGCAGCCCAACATGCAGGCGCTCGAGCGGCAAAGGCATCTTGGCGCAGGCGCTCGAACGGATCGCGATTTCCTGTTTCAAAACAGGTTGGTTTTTGGCCTAGTTTTGGGAGGTTTTTTAGTTTCCTATTCCTTGTATGATTGTGCTAAAGGCCTATACATATAAATAGGTACTTTAGACTAGGGTTTAGAAGAGATTCAAGATACACAAACCTAGGGTGAGAGAAAAAGAGATCTAGAGAGAGAGAGGGAGAGAGAGATCAAAGAGAGTTCTTTATTGTAACCAAATGGATTTTTCTCATACTAGTGAATTTTCTCGGGGATCACCGGAGAGGACGTAGGCATGACGCCGAACCTCTATAAATTCTTGTGTGTTCTTGTGTGTGTTTACTTTTGTGGTTTCGTGTGCGATTTATCTTTGCATAGCTTGTGTTGTGATTGTTGCGTAGTCCATCAACGACAAGGTCTTAGAAGTGTTTTCGCACAACAACAGCAAGTTTAATTAATACATAATTTTTGGTAATTAAAAATTAAGTTAACTAGCAAATGACCCACTAGTGTAGTGGTTTGTAGTATTTACTCCCTCAGGTAAGGTCCTGGGTTCGAGTCCCAGCATCCATGTAGTGTGTGTGAGTTTAGTATACTATCGCCCCTCTCAATAGGAAAGATCCTAAAAATAAATAAATAAAATTAACTAACAAGAAACAAAGTCTTCACCAAGGAAATTATCGACTAATCGTAGATGAAAAAAAAGACCCGAGATTTTGTAAACATTGTGGAGTTCGAATTTGTTGATTCTCGAATACGAAGATATCAAATGGGCTATATCAAACTAGCCTGCCCAGTAACC